TTCGGCTCCAGCCCGGAGGCGACCATCGGGTTGAAAAGTACTGACATCATAAAAATCCTCAGCCACTTCTACACATTGCAAGTTCTCTAAAAGTAGGGTCCTTCTGAGAACCCAAAAATAATACAGCACCCATATGGGACCCTAACTTGGAAAACTACCGACATATTAAGTATCACAACCAATGTCCGCATCCAAGAACAATGTGCAAAACACTTTGTGAAGCGCATGCAAGCTGCTGGGTCACGCCGCCTCCCAGGTTGCCCCAACCGGCCGCGGTGGCGTTGGCCGTGCCAACAACCTGCAATTGTAAAAGCCCGGTTTACACGCTCCTTGGGGCCTGAAACATTCAAAAGAAGGAGAACAAGTTCATACGAAACAAGCTCGGGCAACATTGGGGGCAAACATAAGCGAGCACCAGAACTGATTGGTCACGAAAGTGGCGCCAGCGCAGCCTACCGGGACAAGGAAGGCAAGCGAAGGAAGGGGAGGGCAGGAGTATCACTGAGGGTAATGTAGTGGCCTTAATAATTAGAATAGAGTTTTGGGGGTTCCTTATATATTATCGTACTTACATAGTATAATGTACCCCAAACCCTATTCTTATTAGTAAGGCCTCCATATTATAGTCATCCATGTCGAAGGATGGAACTAGAACACCGATACTGCTAGTCCTGACCACGATTCTCTCGCCATCCCCCCAGCCCCTCCTAAGATAATATTACCATGAAAATATTATATTTATAATACTACTGTAATTAATATTGCTCAAATACTACGATATTTTTTAAATATCACTATCATATGACTATCATATGACTGTAATAGACTATGGTCACTCCACTCCGGTGCGCCTATGAAGAAGCGGATCAGCGTGTAGTTCCAGGGAGCCGTAATCGCGGCTGCCATGGCCACCCAGAAGGCCCCGAAGGACATCAAGCCACACTATATATAGGTTGCTGCCCCAACCTGTCACAGGGTTAGGGGCAGTGGTACGCCTCCAGGCGGAGGCGAAAACAAGAAACATAGGCACACTGAACGTTCACCTCAGGCAAT